TAAGAAAATAAGGCACATCCTCATTAGGATACTGGATACATAAGCTATCATATGTGAATTCAGGAGTAGCAAGCTCCCTAAGGGTCCTCTCACGGGGTCCAGCATTATTTTGCTCACCCATGTTATCAAAATCAGGATTATGTTCAAATGCAACAGAATGGTCAGATGCAGAGGAATGTTCAAAATTATGCATACTATCACTAACAGGTGGATTCCTATTATACCTAACCTATGGTAGGTCTTATCAACTTTAGGGTCAAATGGGTGTAAAATTCCTAGATTACCCCTAGTCATGCACTATATATTGCATATCAAGTAGTTCTCAAACAAGCTTAAATAGGGGGTAAAATTGGAAAGTTTTGCAAATGATGTCCAAATGACTTGAAATTTTACATGCAACACCCTAAAATCATGAAAGATTACCACAAAAAATTTCAGAGCAAAATTCAAAGTCTAACTATGTGAACCACCCAAGAAAAGTTAGGAAAAATAGGGAAATAAAACTTCAAAAATAAAAAAGAAATAGTAAACGACATTGTTTTGGAGTTGTAGGCATGACCACACCACTTTGTCGTATGGGGTGCGTAGAACTCATTTTTCGCATTTTTCTACCCCAAAAGCATATAAAATATGTCCAATTCTGATAACCAGAGCAAAAGTTATGATCAATTGAAGTTTTCACAATGGACTTTTTCAAAAATTTTGGTATCTATCAACCAGGACCCAACCCAACCAACTTTTTTTTTCACAAAAAATATGGATTGAAAGAAGTGAGCACACAAAATTTCAGCCAAAAATTCGAAGTCTAGCTATGCAAACGAAAAATGTCAACTAATTAGAAAAAATAGACACTATTCACTGCCATTATTCATCTAGTGTTTTCTGTAATCTGTAAAATCCGAAATCTGCAAAATTTACCAGCACCTCAACTTCAAATTGAAATGCCCTCTTCTATACTACCATTAACACACCACAACCAATGATAATATCTCATTACACAACATCACATACACCACAACAAAATTCAGAAAAATAAAAATCACTGTTCCATTGGTTTTTACTGCTATCAAAACAACACAAATTGAATTCTTTGTAATCTTGCAATTGAACAACACAGGATACGAAATTGCACTAGTAAAATACCCTAAACTAAACTAAACTAAACTAAACAAAACTTGAAAATAGAACACACCACACACTGACTGATACGAATTATGTAAACTCAAAAGAACCAAACCCTCTATTGCATAACACAACACACCACCTTTGACAGAAACCAATGAGTCCCCGGCAACGGCGCCAAATTTGATCAGAGCCGTATTTGGTCAAATAATTTGATTAAATGTAGTACTAGGCAGCTCTTTCTAGGTCGTTTCCCAAGGACAATTAATTTCTGTCAAAAGCTTGTTAGTTTTGAAATGGAACAAAAACAAGGGGGGGTTTGGTATTTATCAAATTAAATGAAATAGAACAACAACAGATTATATAAATGCATATTAATATCTCCTCTCCTTTACACGAATTAAGCAAACATGTATGTTATCGATTTTCCCCACAAGATTAAGAAACTCATGGTGTTGGATACAATAAACCCGAATTCATTAAGCATGACTTACGTTCAATGATCCAGTGCAGAGAATCAACAACAAGGAACTAAACTAGACATTAAGTGCAGAGAACCTCTCAACAGAGATTGCAATCCTTCAAGGGCCTAACCCTCTGGGTTTAGCTATCCATTAACACAAAATTACCATAACAATAGAAGAAGGAAACAACATAATAGACAAACATTACAAAAGAAATGAAAATGCAGAAAATGAATTGCAGCAGAGATTGAAATACGAAAATGGGGCAGAACTGAACTATAGAAATGAAAATGCAATAGAAGTGGAAAAATGTAAACTTTAATGGTAGTAGAAAACGAAAATGAACCGTATTAATCCATCAATGAGTCTTGAATAGTCAAAACGAAAGTGCAGGAGAAACCAACATAAAACAGAACGTAAAAACCCTACAGTGGCTGCTCCTCCTTTTTTTCTCCTCTGCATGGGCACTTTAACCTAGAGTCCCTCTCCCCTCACCAGACCAGTTCGGCCCAAACAAATCTGACCCAATAAAAATACGAAATAAAAGAAAACAAAAATTATAGTAATGACATGGTAGTTGACATGGCAGTGACATGGCAGTTGACGTGGCAGCACCTCTGCAAGTCCAAAAATTTAATTCTAAACCCAATGAAACCTGCAATTAATTAATAAATAGAATTATCAGTCCAATGAAGCCTAATAATTGAAAACGCACTAATAATAGACAATTAAGCACAATGCAACAAGATTGGTACAAAAAGATAAGAAAATGTGGGAAAAAAATGGCTCATCAACCGGGTATACAGATGCAGAATTCCAATCTGCAGAATGAGTTTTTTCACATGCAAGAACAAAAAATGTCTCAAGAAAGAATTATGAAATTTTCACTAGAAGGAGCACGCTTCTCTCTTGAAAATATCTCTAAAGATTGCTTGAATGATTTCTAAAAGATGTGTTTTAAAACATTAAAGCAAATTTGTTTATATAGAGATTTTTCTAACTAACTAAACTAATTAATCGATTAAATTGCTTTTTAATCAATTAAAATATTTTGTCTTTAACCATTTTAATTGATAAAAATATCATTTAATCGATTAAAATGTTCTGTAGATTTTTCCCAAGACATTTTAATTGATAAAAACGTGGTTTAATTAATTAAAACAGTTGTGCAAAATTTTTTTAAGTGATATCAATTAATTTGAGATTACATCGATTAAAATACTTGACAGAGGATTTCTTAAAACTTCATAAGTGATTTTAACTGATAAAAACACGTTTTAATCGATTAAAATAATTATGCAAATTTTTCTTAAGTGATTTTAATAGATTAATTCGAAGATATGTCAATTAAAATACTAACAAAATGTTTTCCAAAACTTCTTAAGTGAAAATAATCGATTAATTCAAAGGTGTATCGATTAAAACTGCGACAAAAGGTATTTTCACATGTTTTAAGTTGTTTTAATCGATTAATTCAAAAATATATCAATTAAAAATGCAACAAAAGTGTTTTCAAGATCCTTTAAGTGATTTTAATCAATTAATTCATAAATGTATAAGTTAAATCCGAGACTTAAGAGAAAATTAACCGATTAAAATGATTTTTAACAGATTAAAATGTTTTGAGGCATTTTTATTCTTTTCAAATGATAAAACCTTATGTTGTAGGATTGGTTAGATGATTATACCTACTCAATATTGATGTAGACTCACTAAATGACCATTACACTACATCTCCTATTCCATAAGTCCTTTTACTTCATCAAATCTTTAAGATCTTTAATATTTCTTCATCATGATCTCTTTGGACCACTTTTCATGGCATCCTTCTTCAGTCGGACATGCATTGGCATATAATTCCTTCACTACCTTAGATCAAACTTGGACCATGGCTTAGCAAGTTGTCTTTAGTTTCTTCGAGTGATTTCCTCATTGAATTCAGTGTATTCACCCTCTTTTAAGTCCACTCGTCATTCCAAATTGAAGTTCCAACCTTACATTAGCTCATACTATATTACCTCTATTAATCTCTAAAGAGTTGTTGTCAAAAGATGCAAATGATTGACCTATTCTAGGTCATTTTCCAGCAGGTCCAAAAGAGGTAGCTGCTTTTTTTTCTTTTCTTGGTCCCATCTGCAAAACAAGAAATTTGAAGAGGGCCCATAATATGCCAATAGTAGAGAATGTGCATAAAATAAACTATCATGACTATAAGCTTAGGACGAAGTGCTCTATCTCTCATTTGCAAATAATAGTTGATTTCATACCTAAGGCTAAAATTCAGAGAACAAAGTGTTCATTTTATGTAAAAAAAATTGAACTCTTTTTCATTATGCCATTTTATCAAAACACATGGTGGGCTTCCTTCAAAACTTGTTAAAAAAATGGTACTCAATGTAGACCCCAAATCTTGCCCGAGGTCTCAATAAAGACCAGAAAACCTCCATTCGATGATGGACAAGGCTTCTTTAGGCCCCTAGGCATGTTCACTAGGCTCCATGTAAGGATAGGAGATTTTCTATACACAAAAAATAAGAAAAAATAGGAGAACCTGACAGAAAGCTCGAGGTGACCGTCTCGTTTGGCCAGACGACTGTCTCACCTTCCCTAAAGGTCAAGACAGCCGTCTCGTTTGGCCAGACGGTCGTCTCGCCTTTCTCTAAGCCTGAGATGACCGTCTTGCCTGAGAGAAGCCCAGACGGTCGTCCCGGCCTACCTGGCACGAATTCCTATAAATAGGAGCCTCCCCCCTTCATTTCACACACTCTCACACCCTTCTCTCATCCTAGAAGCTCTCCTAAGACTTCGGGATAACTCTGAGCACTTTCCAGAGTTCGAGTAAGCTTTTCAATTTTCTTTTAAGGTAGAAATCGGTTAAGGAAGTCTCCTTTTGAGACATCCGGCACTCGGTAGAAGGGTATTTTCTCTTTCACTGGTGAGGAGCGTGCTTGTAGAGCGAGGGGACTGCCAAAAAGCGTCCTCAAGTTTGAAGAGTTAATATAAAACTCGCTTTGGAGTTTCCTTTACTTATTCTCTCTCTTTTACTGCTTTCTTTTATTGTTTTCCTTATATGCATTAGATATTAAGGTCATGTAGACATTTAATTCTAGCTGCAAAACCTTGAAGCCAGACGCCCTATCTTCCTTGATCCCACTCATGTTCGGATTCACTAACCATTCTCTTTCTCTTTTTGCATGTATGATTTCTTGGTCGGTCGCTTCCTTTCGCTTTCATGCGGAAGGCCCCCTACCGGCCATAAAGAAAGAATTGTTTTAGATAGTATAGAGCGTAACATTGGCTATGGTGCCATTTGCGAAGAAATGAGTTCACTTTCTTTACTACTACGCTCTTTCTCCCATCTCAGACGTGATTCGTATTGGATGATTGATTCCTTAGCAGAGCTACTAATTTTAGATGCGGAACCAGAGCAGAGCTAATGGCTCACTTCACTACCTTAAGCCCAAGCTGGGACATTCTCTAAAGCTTAAAGTCTTTCTTTCCTAGGATAAGTGGAACTGTTTACTTCTATTTGAACTACTCCGAATTATTTTCACTCTTTATGACACTAGTTCAGTGGCATCTATCTTGCTCAGTTGTCTTCCTTTGGTCTGTTGATACTATCTTTCTCCCTCGAAAAACCAGAACTTGTAAGTAGAGTTATTCCCCAAGTAGGACTTGCGGGCGAGCTACCCTTGGTTTAAAGCCCTGGTTGAGAAAGACTTTTCTTTACTAGCCATTCCCTCTACCTCTCTACCGAGCTTACTAGTTCCGTTCATTCCCTACTGTAACTGTAAGAGCTTAGTCGACTACCTAGCTAAACACCCTTCTTCCAAGTATTCCACCGGTATCCTCTTGGTCGAGAATGGCTAGTTGCGTGGACTTTCATCTAACATAACGTGTTCTAGCCGAGTATGGGTAATCTCCAATAGCTGGGAGCGGAACCTTCCCCCCAAAACTTGTTGGACTCGAACCAGCACCTCTGCACAAAAGACAGACCAGATGAACTACCTTTATTCGACTCGTGGCTTGACCCGGTTCTTGTGCGACCTACATCTGAGGGGGTCCTTCACTTCAATATGGGTGTGATTTTGACCCCGTTCCAACCTAGCTAAAAATCCAATGGGACGCCCCAATTGTTCCAGATGACTAAGAACATAAGGAATGTGTGATAGGTAGTGTAGACCCCTAATTTTGCCCGGCCTCTCAAAAGAAAAAGCTAGAGGAACTTCACCCGAAGATGGAGTTCATCCGGCTTCCCAAAACCGAGGAAACCTCCCGCAACCAATATAGAGATCGCTCGTCTACACGATAACGAACGAAGGAGACTTCCTACACGAAGATAAAGCTTCAACGGACACCTATCGGCATCAACAGGCCGTCCCAAACACAACAAGTGGTCCCAAACACAACAGGTGGTCCCAAACACAACAGGTGGTCCCAAACGCAACAGGTGGTCCCAAACACAACAGGTGGTCCCAAACGCAATGGTGGTCCCAAACGCAACGGGTGGTCCCAAACGCAACAGGTGGTCCCAAACGCAACTGGTGGTCCCAAACACAACGAGGTGGTCCCAAACGCAACGGGTGGTCCCAAACATAACAGGTGGTCCCAAACACAACAGGTGGTCACAAACACAACGAGTGGTCCCGAAACGCGAAATCGGCCGAACAGGTTGAGACGGCCGTCCCAAGTTGGGACGGCCGTCCCAACCCTCCAGATTCGGCTGGGACGCGTGTCCCGAGCTGGGACGGCCGTCCCAAGGCCAATTTCAAGTGGGACGGCCGTCCCGAGTCCCCTGGTGGTCTCGCCCGTGTAAAAATGACATTTGGGACGGCCATCCCGAGTCCGGACGGCCGTCCCAACCCGGACGGTGGTCCCAAAGTGCGCCGACTGCGAAAACTATAAATAGGAGGCTCATTTGCCACTTTTTCGGACCACGGACACTCTAGAGAGCTCTGAAACACTTTCAAAAACTCGGAGCACTTGTCTACTTCTCTCCCTTTCTCGAATGATCTTTCCGATTGCCTTAAATAGGTAACAATCGGTTAAGGAATTATATTCGGCATTTGATTCTTCTTTAAATTTTTAGTGGAGTCGATCTTGTATTGGTGAGGAGAGTCTCGTGTAGAGAGAGGGGTTGCCAAAACGCATCCTCACGGTTCGAGATTCTCAATACAAAGCTTGCTACTGGAGGTTCTTTTCAATTCTCTTCTCTTTTATTGCTTTATTTATTGTTTTATTTAGCTTTATTTACTGTTTATGCCATGTAGAATAAAATCATGTAGATAGCCATTTTTATATCTCTTTTATTGCTTTATTTAGCTTTATCATGTAGATAGCCATTTTAATATTATGCAATAAAATAGGGTAATCGCGTAATTTCTCGAAGTCTTCTCTTAAAATGAATTGATCTGTCATAGGGAACCCGAAAGGGGCGTTGTGGGGTGCTAACACCTTCCCCACACGTAACTAACTCCCTTACCCAACTCTGGTTATAATGGCCAAGTTTGGTTTTTCATTAAAATCAATACCTTTTATCCTTTTCCAATGTTTATGGTCAAAACATTGGTGACGACTCCATAAGAACCCCTTTTCGAAAACCTTTTAAAACAAATACGCGAGTCTAAACCATCTTTTTGCGACCGCTCGCATAAACGTTTCCAGACGTCCTCCGACGTCGGAAAGGGACGGCGGCGACAGATGGCGACTTCACTGGGGAAGTCCGAGAGTTGATCCCATTTAGTGACAGATAAATTCAAACTAAGTAAAGATTTGAAATTACGCCTTTACCCTTCTGTATGTTTTTATTGTATGGCTTTAAATAACTGCTATATGATTATTTCTGCAATTGTTTGAAATATAAATTGCACACAAAAACCCTTGCACACAACAGTCCCTCTATACCCGGGGGCAAGAGTGAATACCTATAGGGAGTGGGTGGCAGATACGATCGGTTAGTTGGCACACAGGGCTACTACCGTTGTCGGAAAACCACCAACTCAAGGTGATAACTCTCTTCTTTTGGTCTAAGGGTGTCGCCACGGAGTTCCGTGCATGACCCGAGGATTGAGAGATTGAGAGGTCCCTATAATGGGGGCACCTTGGGGACCTTTGGCCTGGTGAGAACAGTTAGAACCGCCTAAACCAAGCACGTTTTTGCAGGAAAACCCTACCTCGTGATTAAATAAGCGTGGCTCTGCTCGTGGATGTATGAATTGTGTGTGCATTTGTTTGCTGCATTTGTATTGATGCATTAGCATAGGGTACTCATACAACAAACAAAAAAAATGAAAAACCCTAAAAATCATAAAAAGTGAAAAGATAAAAACCTTTATCTCGGACAGTCTTTAGTTAAGCTAGCCTGGTTTCAGGTTCTTTGTAAGCTAAGTAGTCACGTTGACCGACAGAAGAGATAAAGGGTCATAAAAAATATAAAAACAATTAAAGCAATAAAAATGCCTTTTACTTTAAAAAAGATTCTTGGCAAAGTCGTATCATTCATACCATATCATCCAATAAGTGGTAAAATTAAGAAAGAAAATAATTACAGCATGCTCATCATTTTAATAAACCCCTAAAAAATGGGTCTTAGAGACGTTTTTTGGGAAAATTACTGGGCCAAATCGCCTTCGGCATTTGCAGCTTGGTTCTTCACCTTTTTCTCTTCGTTTTGACATGTCTGTGCGTCCAAATCGGACAACCCGATCAAAAGTTATGCCACTTTCAATATCTCATTGTCATAAAAAATATTTTTGTATTGCATGCATAAAGCACATTTATTCTAGGATGCATTAGATATCCTTAGACAATAGCGAAAGAGACCCAAGTGCGTTTATCACCTTCCTAGAAGAGATGAGTGCGCTAAGGTATATTGGCAACCTTTGAAAAAAGGGAACCATCACACTGAAGTGGGTATGGTACTCCTTAAAACACAGGCTTTTGAGAAGATACCAAAGCTATTGTCTAAAGCATATCTATTTCACACTGATCATTCATAATAAAAAAAAAAGTTGTAATAAAAATCTTTAAATCATTTAGAAAGTGGCTGGTCTTCTACCTGTTCTCACTCGCGCTCAAAAAGCAAAGAAGATGGAGAAATTAGAGGAGCAGAATCGTATGCTCACCGCCGAGCTTAATGTCATAAAGGAACAAATGGCGCAATTGACGGAGCTAATGTATCAGCAATGCTTCCACAATACGGTCTCTGAGCAACGAATTTTTACCTTAGAGGAGAGATTAAGGGCATTAGAGGAATACAACTTTGATGTAAAGGAGGTAACCGATGTCGAAAACACTCGATTCCCTCCCAAGTTTAAGAAATCCCACGCATCATTCAAGAAGCCCTTTGACAAGAAAAAGGAGGGAAGTGTAAATGCCATGAACCTCACTACCCCTTCGTCCTCCTCGCAGCAAACCAAGCCACGCAGACAAGAGAGGAAATTCACTTCCATACCTACCTCCTACGAAAGTTTGTTTTTGAAATTATTGGACGCCAAGCTCCTCGTACGTGTCCCTCCCAAGAAAATGGAGCCACCATACCCAGAATGGTATAAATCTAATGAAAGCTGTGATTATCATTCAGGTTCCCCTGGACACTCAGTGGATAACTGCATGGCCTTAAAGCATAAAGTCCAAGATTTAATAGATGCGGGATGGATTACCTTTGACGCATCTACTCCGAAGGTGGACGACCAGCCCCTATCAAAGCCCGAATAAAAGACGGGATAAGGGAGACCAGCAGATTAGGGCTCATCATTTTTACCATCTTTTACAATAAAAAATATAGAAAAAAATAATATATCGAAAAAAATTTTCGAAGTATTTCTCGTGATCCTTGCCCATGATCACGAGATTTTTGGGCTTTGTAAATATTTTCTTCTATCAATACAAAATGGCATTTTCTTTAATATCCATATTCTCATTCATTCTTTTCTCTCTCATACATCTAATAAAGGAATCTAAAACAAAGTATAACCCATACAGTCATGTCTATGATTGAAAACTCCCCGGAAGATCTAAAAGCCGAGGACGAATGGATTGAGTCAGACAGTGAGGAGGGGACCATTTCCCCGGACATGCAAAGACTGTTGGAAAAATAAGCTCAATGGATACAGCCTAGACAAGGGCTTGGAAAGGATGCTCAAGGAATAAGAGAGTCACCAAATTTTAAGGATAATCCTTGAAAGTACGACCCTACAAAAGATCAAGTCGTACAAAGAAAAGAGAAGTCTCCCCTCCGTACCTTAAAAAGACGATCTTCCAAAAAAGGAGAGATATTAGCATCAAGGGTAGCATTAGTCATTAAATGCCCTTCTTCCGATCTTAAGGGATGTAAACCCAATGACTATCAGAGATCACTCCTCGGGATATGCCCGACCCCCGAACATCTTTAGAGCACGCATTTCCCTTTGAATTACAAAAGAATGCTATTCTTACTATCTGCTTCTCTTCTTGCTAAGCATGTCTATACCCCATTAAATAACCCTGTTTAGACAAACGTTTTGTTCCAAAATGCGTCAAAATAATCAAAACGCCATACACAAAATGAAGCCAAAGTTAACATGATTGATTAGCTAGAGGCACGAATAAGAAAATCGTGTTTCAACAATGTTTGAAAAAAGAAATTATTATTAAAAGAAGCCCGTCAAGGTCAAAGGCCAAGACAAAAAGATAAAAGGGCAAAATCCTAGGCAGACTAGGAATGTTAATCAGTCATAAAGTAATCAGCTGAAGACGCTACCTCATTAAAACAAAACGTTTGTTTGAACTAGCCTAAACACTGACCAACCCTGGCTAGCCATTCTTACAAAAACTATTATTTAAAAAAAATCTCGCTAAAACACAAGCCTTTGTGATAAACCCCTTTCTTTCTATTCTCTTGACCCTTCATCATAAAACATTCAAGTAATTGACTGGGAAATGTGGAAATATGGTGATCAATAGGAGGATTGAAATCCCTAAGGAAAGGAAGAGGGGCAGTGACATGACAATTGCTCTACATTCAAAATAATTACTCTTCAGTTATAGCAAGAAAAGTCCAAGACGGCAAATCGGTACAGCTAATCATGTTGATAAAAGCACATGATGATGGAAGCAAAATTAACAGAGGCTG